TTTTCTATGGAAACTGTATTTAGCAGTCATTCTCCGTGGGTGACCGCTCAAAACAGATCTGACGATATATATTTTTTCCAAATTTTTTTCTTTTAAGGATAAATAGACGATAGTGCTCGATCTACTCTCGGAAATGCAATATAAAGTTAATGACTTTATTCAGAAGGGAACATCTCCTCACCTTGGTCCGATCAAGATCACTTTCGAGTTTTGTTGGTGACGGCACCTCTGCTGACAGTGGCATATAGTAACAGATCTTTTTACCAGGTAACATCAACATGCTCATATTCTGTTTTAACCAGAAAAGATATATTGTTGTAGGAACTTAAATGCCGTTCAGTCCTTTGTCTCTAAGTTACACTGAAGTATAAATCGTAAGGCAGTGTGGAGAGGAAGTGATGATTTTAAATTGCTCTTTTTAAGGCAGGAGGAATGACTAGATAGTGATGACTTAATCGTAAGAGTTAGCTCATAATCAACGGAGAAGTATGCTCTATAATACGTACGTACTGATTGACTAAGTGGAGGCGGAGTACAGGAAAATGATAATAATAATATTTGGCTCAAGGTTCTTCTTCTTTTCTTCTTTCAACTCGCATCCGCGAGGCCGTACGTCTTTTCCTGGACCTGCTCACGTTTTTGGAAAATGCGCACACGGGGCCGAACGAATCATGTGATGGAAGAAATGCCTTCAGGGGTGTGAATTCTTTCAATTTTCAGCCCCCATGAAAAGTTATGTACTGCTATAAGATTGTTTTAATGCAGCTTTTCTCTTAGCAGGTTCTCCAAGTTTGACAAGGGATTGGATGAAACCTCATATATTTACACAGAATCAATGCACCTTTAAAAGTCACGTTAATCTTTGACAGACTTACTGTTTTGAAGTCGTACAAAATATTGCTTTGGTCCACTTTGTTATGAGCAGGAACTTTGAACAGTTCAGTTTGCTTCTCCGTGTCCACCTCGATTGTCTCGTCGTACTGTGCCTCAGATTCGCTTATATGAACTGTGTAATCTACAACCTATGGTACCGTAAATATACAAACAATTTCCTTGTTTATAGTTCAGTTTTTAAAATTGCATAATATTGGCCGTACAGTTTGCAACGTCAGTATGCATTGCATGCCTGTGCATTAGACCCGCTTCACCTCCAAAATCAGAGAAAAGAAGTTATTACTGAGTTACTGAGATCGGTACAGTGCTGTATATACGCTTTAACGAAGTGTGCAGCCTAACAAAAATCTTACAAGTTGCACTTAATTGTTATCTTTCTTTGAAAAGGAAATATCTATTTGAGTCAGGACTAACACCTTAAAGTTGCATAGTTGCGGTTGAGAATTAAATTTAGAATTACCGGAACCCTATGAAAACAGGAAGTATAATGCAAAGTGACTTTACGGACAGAGATTTATATTTCTTATGAAAAATACATGAAAGTTTGCAATGAGTTAAATGTTACAGTTGGCGTTTAAATAAGGGCAGTTTAGAACTGAACCGCAACTTTCAAAGACGAAATAAACGTCCTCTTCGAATCATTAGAAGCCGCCTCTTGATTCAGATCATTTAACAAGGACCCTGGTGGCTAATTTGAGCACTGATTGGGTGTTTTATTATACAAATTCACCAGTTGGTTTGTGCACAAGTGACTGAGCTGGTTGCAATGCAAATAAGCAAGGATTCTTCAATATAACTCCGTTTGAGTGGGGAAGAAATTGTACCTCAGTTTACGGGAAATAAAATATTTTTGTAATCGTCGAAACCTCTGCTTGCTAAAAGGAGGTCATATATAATAGAAAGACTGAAAAAGTAACAGGCATGCAAGCTCTTCATCGCATATGCGAAGCAATCTCGCCAGACCACGAGGGCCATGACTTCACCAGTTTAATTACTGTCAAATTTTATCCTCCTTAGATAAAAAGTCAACTACTACTGCTACCACTACTGCTAGACCTTCTGTCACCATCTGTTCGACCCAGAGGAAGATAATTTACCTTCTTAGAAGGAGACGGTGTAAGACTAACAGGACTCGCAGATGTCATGTTTGCGGTGGCAACAAGCAGCAAAAAAACAACAGCCAAATTTCTGCTAGCCAGGATTGGTTGCTACAACGAAAGTAAAATCAAATTAAATGATACATGAACAAATTTCTCTTAACCAGAGGGAAACACGAAAAGAATTAAGATTTATTCATAATAGCTCTGATTGTCAGTTTAATAAGACGCTTTATAAATTGCCTGAAAATCTTACTGTGCTTGTACTGAAAACCTAAAATCGAGAAACCAACGTGGGATATACTTTTTACGCGATGTGTCGATCCCTTTCAAAACAATATGCACAAAAATTTATTTCAATATGCAATTTGCAAACCTGAACCTATATCTTGAGCAGGTCAAACTAGGAAAAGATTTCTGAAAACTCTTTTGATATATTTCTGCAGTAAGAAGGTGGAGCGGCACTTTTTGCATACTTACACCAAACATGATTCCTCTATGTTCCATTTTGTTCCGTTTTTGACGTGTCTCTCCTAATGTCATTCGTCGGTTTTAAACTGGAGTTAATGTGCACTGGAGCTAGGCTAGGCGTTGCTCCTTTTTATACTGTTCTCAGTGCTATGCAAATGCATTGTTTATAGATTTCGCCGTTTCAGCGAGAGTTACACTTCATTCTTTGTGGTTATTTCTAACTTTCTTGGAACTCCTGATCTTCAACAACCATGGGCACAAGGGTGCCAGTAATAATTAGCGAAGTGAGCCATTTGTTGCATTTGACGTATGAGTATCTTTAGTCGTTAAAGTTATAAATACTGAGTTGTTATAACGGCTATTGCCAATAACAATGAATAACAATGTATTTGTATATATGTTCTATCGTAAGACTTGTTGCCTTGCCAGGATTTCTGACATCAGCTAGGTTGTTTATTTAATGTCTAAGTCGCTTCAGCTTCAGCAAAATCGTACCTTCTCCGGTTGCGCTTAATTGTCCATATGGAAATTGATTATTTATTTTCGCATCTGTATTTTTAACTCGTACCTCTTGAAACTATTTTTAGCCCTTTTCAGTTTTCACAGTTGGCCGGATCTTACGCTCAAACCTATTCTTTTTATAATGCGTTTCTTTAATCCCTCTTGTTTTTAAAAAATCTACCGATTAACAATCAACAACGGAGACTGTCTGCAATGCCAGCACTGCACATTGAATGCACTGCAACCGTTTGCAATACTAACACACTGCATACTAGCAGGAGGTCTTTGCTCAATTTCCGTGTTTTAATGTTGTCACACTAATTGCTTTGTGTTATTATAGACATGTATCATGTCTCGTAGTCAGTTGGTACTATCCAGGTGCCGCCTGATGTTTGACACTGCATTGTTAAACATGTAATTCTAACTTAACCGTGTTAATTCTTACATAGCACTAAAAATCCGTTGAAATAACAGTTTTATTTTAATGCCTCTACTCAGCTGAACGTGTGGAGACTGATGGTATTTTTCTATCAGTTTGAAATGTTGCTGAATTTTCATGATGCAGCTTTCAAATTATGATAATTTTCGTTCACTTCCTGAAAGACTATAGTGTGTGTATTTTTGTAGCAATGGTTTTATGCTAAGTGAACGCATATCCGGCTCCATGCGATTTTCATGATTCACTAACATATCAAGTGCCCTAGTCGATTTCTCACTATTCCCAACATTTGATCTATGGGAGATTTAAGGCTTTCACTATTGAGTTTTAGCAGTCAACAAACATTCATTGTCGAAGTCAGTTCGTCGACGCCCAAGTTTCACAAATCAAATCTACTTCGGACCACTGAATGAAGTTGGCAGTTTGAAAAATGTCAGTATCCTAAGGAATGTTTGTTTATGAAACAAGGAAGGACTGACACGGAAGTCTTGTAACTGAAGGTACGTTCTGCTAAAGCGCCAAAATCATGACAACAATGCAAGCCTTAGACAAGAAAACAAAGCAGAAATACCGAATAAAAGCAACGGATGTTATAAAAATAACTATAGCTTCCTTCGGTGAAGGTACAAGAGATGCGATGTCTTCATTCTGTTCCACTGTTGTAATAAACTAAACCTTACAAACAATAAATATCAGTGCTAGTGTAAAGTAATGTGCCGCCAACAAGCTTTAAGGTCTAGCTTCCATAATTGCTGAAGGAAAAGCAAGTCCCATGCCAAATGCATTCGGCGGGAAGTTTACCGCCAACATGTTTACTATTCGCTAAAACATCTAGATCTTCGCGGAAGGCATTTGATTCAAAGTTCATTCAC